ATTAACAAGTAAGAAAAAAAAACTACCCCATTAAAAAACGGGCAAAGGATGTGAACACTTTTCGAAAGACATACATGTGGCCAACAAGCATATGAAAAACTCCTCAGCATCACTAGTTATGAGATAAATGCAGATCAAAACCACAATGAGATGCCATCTCACACCAGTCAGAATGGCTATTATTTAAAAGGCAAAAAATAACAGGTGCCGGTAAAGCTGTGGAGAAAAGGGAGAGCTTATACACTGCTGGAGGGACTATACATTAGCTCAGCCATTGCAGCAAGCAGTTTGGTGATTTCTCAAAGAACTTAAAGCAGAGCTACCACTCGACCCAGCAACCCCATTGAGTACACACCCAAAGGAATAATAATCCTTCTACCTTAAAGACACATAGATGGGTATGTTCATTCACAATAGCAGTGACATAGAATCAACCTAAATACCCATCAACGGTAGCATAAAGAAAATGTGGTACATATATACCACGGAATACTATGCAGCCATAAAAAAGGACGAGATAATGTCCTTTGTAGCAACATGGATGGAGCTGGAGGCCATTATCCAAAGTGAACTAACACAGGAACAGAAAACCAAATACCACGTATTCTGAGTTTTGAGTGGGAGCTTAATATTGAGCACACATGGACACAAAGCAGGAAAAAATAGACACCACAACCTACTTGAGGGTGGAGGGTGGGAGGAGGGTGAAGATCGAAAAACTACCTACTGGGTACTATGCTCATTACCTGGGTGATGAAATAATCTGTGCACCAAGCCCCCATTACATGCAATTTACCTGTGTAACAAACCTGCACATGTATACCTCTGAACCTAAAATAAGTTTAAAAAAAAGAAAAGCATCACGTATTTTCTGAAGGAAATGGAAATATATATGAATATACATTGTCAAAGACTGTAATGTTTGAGATTTTCTATTGCTTATTTCAGTAGTTTCTGGACCTATTTCATCTGGGCTAGCAGTTGTGAAAACAAAGTAGTGTGGATCAAACTCTTGTCATCTGTTTCTGTCATGCAGATTTTAGCCCTCATTCTAAAGGAGGGATAGATTTTAGTCCCATCCTCTCTGTTCTG